TGGGGGCGGGGCGGGGCGGGGCGCGGGTGCAAGGCTGCGGGCGGGGGCCTGCGCGGCCCTGTCCGCCTCTGGCTCCGCGCTCCGCTTCTGTGGGCGGTGCAGGCTCCTTGGTCGCCTCAGCTCGTGGCCCGAACCCTCCCCATGTTTGGGGATGAGAATACAGCAGCTCGCGAGGGGCCGGGCAGTAGGTTTCCCCACTGGCTGGGGGCTGCGCGGGACGGAGGGTTGCCCCGGCGACTCCAGGGATTAAAGAGAAATCTCCAGGAGACTGCTGAGAGTCCCCCGGGGGATCAGTGATAGGGCATTCATGGAAATAAATATTCAATGTTTAATCTGATTCATACCGTTGTCCAGTGGGTTTTTTAAATGCCATAGTCACATGCATTTGCCTTCCTGATATAAAGTCATTCGTGGCGTTACACGTGACGTCATGAAACCTCCCGGAATAGTTCAAACAGAGTTGGCAACCCCGGTGGGACGCAGCGCCGGCGTTCCGCGTCAAACAGCGGAGCGGAGCGGGGGCCCGGGCTCAGCCTCGAGCCTTTCTTGTTTCAGGCCGTGAGAAGGGCCAAACGGCGGCCTGTGTAGCCCAGTCTGCTGTGCCACACAGTCAGTGCTGAAAGGAAGTGTGAACTGGGTCTGACCTGGGGGGTTTTCCCGCTGTTCCTCTCTCACTTGCACCCTGTAAAATTTAAGGTCTGATTCAGAAGCTGTACCCCTAACTCCCAGGCTCAATAGCTTCTGATGTCCCTTTCCATCCAGTATTTGTCCAATCCCTTTTTGTATCTGGCTGAACTGTCAGCCTCATCCTGTTTCCGTCAGCCAATCGGAGTGTGAATAAAACATTACGGACAGACAGACAGACTTGGGCTTTTATAATATTAGAGTGTGTGTGTATATATGTGTGTGTGTGTATTTATATATATATATATATACTAGCCAATCACCCATCAGAATGACAGGGGGGGCGGGCAGAGACAGAGCCTATGCCCCTTGCCCCTTGCCTCGGGCTAGGGCTGGGGCCAGCCATTCCCCCTCTTCCCCCCTGCCACTTTGGGCCAGGGCTGGGGCCTGAGCCGCTCCCCACCGCTGCTTCGGGCTGGGGCCTGAGCCATTCCCCCCTGCCCCCTGCCACTTCGGGGCTGGGGCCAGGCCTGCTCCCCGCCTCCCCTCACCGCTTTGGCTTGGGGCTGGGGCCTGAGCCATACCCTGCTCCCTCCCCACCGCCATTTTGGGCCGGGGTCGGGTCCAGGGCCAGTCCCCTTCCCCGCACTGCTTTGGGTCAGAGCTGGGGCCAGGGCCAGAGCCATTCCCTACCTCCCTTCCCCTCCCCACCGCTTTGGGCTGGGGCCCATGACCGCAGCAGTGTTCACAGTGGCAGCGGGGCGCAGCCACCAGTAACCCCCACCTCTCCTTCCTGCTCCCCTCCCTACTCTGGTCCAAATCAGATTTGGTTGAATTGATTCAGGACAGTGATTCTCTGTCCCCCGAACTGTCCAAATCCAAAGTGAATACTAGCTCAGGCACAGGCCTAATGTATATGGGTACACACACACACACACACACACACATACGTACGTACACATACATATATATACACATAAACACATACACACATCTATATATAGTATGTCTTTTCAGAACAGTCGTGGGCATGATCTAGTTTTCAGGGGTGAAATACACATAAGAATTGTCAAAGTTTTAGGTAAAGTAGAAACAACAGAATCCCTTCAGTAGCAAGGTTTTGGGAAATATAAAGGTATTTGGCACATTTTCATACTTTTCATGTTTTATATATCCTTTGGGTATATGAGACATCTTTCATTTTTGCAACTAATGGGATGAATACACAAAAAGCCCAACAGAGTCAAACAAAAAGATACAATTTCTGATTCTAGTGCATGAAACATGATTATGACAAATGGTATCAACGTATGTTTGTAAAGAAACATAATTTATTGCAGGCCATAGGCATGAATAAATTTATGATATATACCATACATTTCACATCAGTTTTGCCTGACTGTTGCTGTACTATACAAAAAAAAATAAGTATTGAAAATGGTGACTTCTAAGATAACTTTTTCCCTCTACTTATTTCTACTTTTGAGGCATTAAAAGGAGAAAAGTATGATATAGTAAATAAGTATTATTCACAAGTGTTAATGTTTCTTTTATAAGTGAGATCAACAAATGAGAATTTTTGGGTTTTAAAAATCACATATGTTATTAAAAGGTAACTGAATAATGTCCTCATTCTACCCTCATTTGATTTTTATTGAATGGATGGGTGAGAAAAAACAGTAATTTTTTGTTTGGAGACTGCTAAAAATCTAATGAACCATGTTATGTACAGAGCTAATTTGTTTTCTCATTTAAGTCCTATGTCTAACTGATCCGGCAGATGGAATCAAAAAAACTTTGTCAGGAGCTTCAATGAAAGACATTGCCTTAAGGTTTCATTTTACTCTAAAATAATGTATGAGAATGTGCGCGTTACATGACTGTTGTGAGATAACCATACAGCACTTATGCAACTCAGATATAACAAACTGATAGAGTATAGGGACTCCATAACTGAGAAAAGCTTAACTTAAATTAGTACTGAATGGCCTTCTTTTAATCTGATTGCCTGAGACAATGTCACTTAAAAGAAATACTTCTTGTTTCTACAATGGCCTTATGTGTACCTGTAGCTTTACAAACAATACATGCTCCCTGTTTGGAAGATGTTAGTCTAATCCAGAGACAGACAAAGTCCGGCCCTAAGGCCAGATCAAGCCCATGACAGACTCCATTTCCCAGCAGTCCCTGCCTGCATCACTCCAGCCAATCTCCATGGACACCCCAGGACCAGAGGGGCCATAATATCCTGGAGCCAGGGTCTCCATGGAGACTGCCCCACGCAGCGCTGGCAGGGTGTGCAGCTGAGTGGGGAACTGCTCCAGGGCCAGGCCTGGAGCCAGGGCCGGGATCTTGCAGTGGTGACAGCATGCGCTGGAGCCAAGGCAAAGCTGCAATCCACTGCCTGTATACCTTGGGCAGGGGCATGCAGGCAGCAGAGCGCGGCTTTGCCCAGGTTCCAGCCATTACTGTCACCACCACAAAATCCCAGCCCTGGAACAACTCCCTATCCAGCCATGTGCCCTGCCAGCACCACTTGGGGACTGTGGCCCCATGCTGTCATGACCCCACTGCTCCTGGGGTCTCCATGGAAAACAGCTGGAGTGGTGTAGGCAGGGACTGCTGGGAAATGGAGTCCAGCTGCCAGCTGGATCCGCCATTTTGCCCACCCCTGGTAATCAGGCCATGTAAAGACAAAGGATTCACTGGAAGAGATATATAATTAAGAATGATGTAATATGGATGGATTAAGTTCAGGTGTTATCACTGTATCATCCAAGTGCCCTAACTGGGATTGGGGACCCATTGCACTGTTGTTGTTTGTCCTTGAATTTGAAGATGACCATGACATCACTAGTTGTTTTGGTTTCTGTGAGTAGCTGATCAGGCCAATTTGTGCTTTGATCTCTGTGGCACGCTGAGCAAGAGATGCCACTTTAGGTTGCTTGATCAACAGCGGACATGTTGCTGCTGCAAGATTTATGCTGTTTGCACTCCCGCTCATAGACTATAGCTCCAGTATGGATGAGGCTTCGCCAGGTAGAACGATCATAAGTGAGATCTTCCCAAGACTTCAGGTCAATGTTGAAACATTGCAAGAATGACTTGAAGGAGTCCTTGAAACATTTCTTCTGGCCTCCCTGAGAGCACTTTACCTCCTTTAGTTCACTGAAGAATATTTTCATTGGCAATCGTTCCTCTGACATCCTGGTGACATGGCCTGCCCATCTCCTCTGTGATTTCATCAACAGAGTGTGTATGCTTCGAATACTTGCCCATGTGAGAACCTCAGTGTCTGGGGCTTTGTCTTGGCATCTTATCCTCATCTGTTTCCTCAGACATTCCATGCAAAAGTGGTTTAGCTTCACTGGGTGGTGTCTGTACACCGTCCAGGTTTGGCATGCATACATCAGGATTGGCAAGTGCAATGGCTTTGTAGACCATCAGTTTAGTCTGTTGACTGATGCCTCTGTGCTCCCACACATTTGCACGTAGTCTGCCAAAGGCCACACTTGCTTTGGGAATTTTGACATTGGTTTAATCATCAATGTAAACTGCACGTGACAGTTTACTGCCGAGATAGGCGAACTTGTCCACTGCCTGGAGGCTTGGCCATTCACTGTGATGGTAGGCTCTATGTAAGGTATTCCTGGTGCAGGCTGGTGCATCACTTATGTCTACTTAGTGTTGGTTGTGAGACCAAAGTTGTCACAAACCGAAGAAAAATGGTCTGTACTCCATGCATGTCAAACTCAGATTTGTCATTTAGGGAACAGCCATCAGCAAACAGAAGATCATGAACAGTCACTTCCTGTAACTTTGTCTTCCCCTGTAGTCTCCTCAAATCAAAGAGCTTGCCATCAGACTAGTATCTGACGTCAATCCCAGTGTCAGAGTCACAAAAGGCATCTGTAAACACGGCAGAGAACATCACACTGAAGAGGACTGGGGCCAACATACAGCTCTTCTTGACTCCATTTGTGACTGGGAATGGTTCAAATGACTCACCGTCATCCACAGTGCGAACGAACCCATCCACAATGCTATTATATTGGGCATTATAAACATACATAAGGAAGAATTTTTTTTTCCTCTGAAGAATTTGCACACTGAACATTATCTGAACACTCTGGTCTTATGAGGGCATGCAGGACAGGAAGCCCTTCTCCACCAAAGTAACATAAATAAATCCATGAGATTTACCAGAATCACACCTCAGGGAGAACAGGAACTG